GCTCTCGTCTTCCGTGACTTTGGTCTTAGCAGATGTGGAAAGCTGGATGATTGTTTTTAACGCACCAATGCAGAATTCTCAGTATAACCTGCATCCTCTCAGTGAGGAGATACGTACGCACCATTCTCTGGGTTAAGCACTGAGAAGTCCTGAATGCTGAAGGAGGTTAACACTTACAATGCTTATTTACAATACTTGAGGCCACCTCTATCCCATTACACAGGAGGACATAGAAGGGCGGTTAGGGAGGTAGTTCTTGCAGTTTAGCAGGTGTGCTATCGTGGTACCAGGAAAGGAGGGAGTGTAGTACTACGTGGCTTTAGAGACCGATGGCATAAAAACACCTTGTATTGGTTTTGTGTGGTGGGGAGGGGTGGGCTACAGGGATGGCTCCTGTCAGAAGCTGCTAGAACCTTCCGTGCCTTCAAGTCAGACCCACCTCTGGCCAAGGCCAAGCCAATTAGCACCTCTGTGATTAACATATTTTAGAGGGAAAATGATGCTGGGGAAAGTGCAGTGGAGAGAGGAGTGGGATGTGAGAGAGAACCAGGCAGACAGCAAGCCATGACACACTCATTAGTCGTCTTTCATTGTAGGTGCTGGTGCTAACTGATAAATGCTGATTAGGTGCCAAGTGCAAGCTGAAGTATTAGCTCACAGCAGCAACAGCTGTGAAGGATTTGCATCCCTTTCTCTGTAGGGCAGGGCAGGCTGCTGAATGCATTTAGGAGTTACTGAAGCCTGACTGGAACGCAGAGTCGTCAGACTAGCAATCTGCCTGTGTCCGAGACCTTGCAGAGGTGACTGCAGGGATACAGTAGTGCAAGGAATTACTTGTGCCTTCCCCATTCAGTGCTTGCTGAAAGCTTCATTGGTATGTGGAGAAGAATTCTCAGGATTAGGTTCACGTGTATGTATCATGAATGCTGAGGACTCCCATCTCCTGACGTGTAGTTTGTGGTGTAATTGTGGGCGTGTGTCATGCTGCAATTGTTGCTGCTATTAAAGGCATTAATTAGGTCTCTTCTCAGAATGTAGCTGCATATTTTTCACAACTGCTGGGAACATCTGGCTGGCCACTGTAGCTGTAAAATTGAGTGGGGTGCCTTCAGGTAGAAGGGTGCACATACAGATTAGGAAGTGTTTACAGGCACAGATAGATCAGTCAGTGGTGTTCAGCTCCGATGGTGGAGTCATAAATCTTGTGACTGAACTCCTTGTTCCTACTACGCTGTTTAGACATTCCATGTGCTGTAAGGGCACATTCTCCTCCTCTCCTCTACTTCCCCACAGATGCATGGTGTTAGGAAGGCTACAGGAGCTGGTCCAATCTGTCTGCTTTCCTATCCTGAAATTTACTGGGAAATAGGTGCTGCTCTTATTCCAGCTTGAGGTCTGAGAAGCAATGAATGATTTTAACTGCAGTTGTCTTCTCTCTGGCGAGCCCGTTTGTGTTCTGGGTAGCGCTTCATGTAGCCAGGAGTATATGCTGACTTTCAGATACTGCTAAGTCAAAGAAATTACTTTCTGGGCCATGTGTTGCCTTGTTTTGAACCACCTAAACAGATAGCTTGGGTTTGGGTTTTTTGTTGTTTTGTTTTGTTTGTTCGTTCTTACCTAAATACTTAATTGTAAAGTGTATCAGGGACTACTTATCTGCACTGTTCTACTAGCAGAGGAGCAGTGGCAGGAGCCTCTGTTGACAGGACTAAAGGTTTCCCTAGATTAGCTGTCTGTAGTCATGTTAGACGTAAGGTGAAGTCTTGTGCTGCACGCTTTCAGGTAATGTTGTGCTCTAAAATACTTTGCCCTCTCCATTCCTTCCCCGTAACTGAAAGCTGCACTTCCTTAGGTGAAAGTTTTGTTCGGTCAGACTACCGTACGTGGTAAGTAGATCCCCAAGAATGATTTTGGGCAATATGCTACAGAGAAATGAGCAGAATTCCTTCCTCTTGAGAAAAGTAATATTTGAGATGTTTATTCTTTTTGAATCTCTGGCCTTAGCCTGAGATTCAGGATTTTGACTGGAATATCTTGCTGATCTACACAACTCAAATGCTTTTCATCAATTTAATCAGATGACTACGGAAAATTAGGTCACCAGGAGACAGAGGAGTCCTGTAAAAACTTTATTTGAATAAAGGGAGAGGCCACTGGGCATATCCCTGTGGGGTGTCTCCATCTACAGGGGGGTGCAGCCTCCTTTAGCCTGCTTTCCCGGCCACAAGAGACCCTCCTCATTTCCCCATCAGCTGAGGTACTCGAATCCGCCTAAGGCATTTGTGTAGTTGTGCCCACTTCATACATCCTATGTATCGTTAACTACTTCTGTGTCACCCAGGGTGGAGAAGTTAATATGCATTTGCTAATTAAGCAAGCACACTGAAGCTAAAAGCTTAAAAATGCAAACATTTGGGACTGTTCTCAACCTCAGCCAGTTCATGCAGATGTCTTGTCAGCTAAGTTCTGATTGTTTCTTCTTTCCTTCCTCTTATCTTGAGTTTGCACAGGCTGCCTTTGTTTCCTCTGAAGTCTGGGTTTGCACAGATTACTTTTGTGAAGACATGCAACTGGTTTTCATATCACTACCTCAGTGTGACAGCCAAAGCTGTTCAACTGTCAAAATCTCAGTCCTCTTCCAGCCACAGACAAAAGTATTTTCCCAGCCGTCTCCCTGAATATCTCATTTCTAAGAGTTTTCTAGTTACAGATCCCATTTGTATCTGATCTTTTCACCATGCTTTCCTTTCTTCTGTTACATTATCTGCATGCCAAAAAAGGCTGATATATCTCACTCTTCTTCTCAACACTTCATGGCACTAGACAACATATGCAATTAGATAGTTTCTGTAACTTCTTGTAAACATTCAACTTGCAACATGAGTCTGCAGTTCAAAACTCTTGTACCAACCAGTACTGTCACACCTTAAAACCTAGTATTTGGTTTAAAAACAAGCATGTGCCAAGTCCACGTTTTTGTTTTGCTAGTACCAATGTGAAAAAAAGAACATTTTTCACTGAAGTGAATTCAGTCAATTCAGTTTTGATTGAAAGCTGATTATATGTCTGATAAAGCAATTGTTATAAACTCCTTATGGTGAGAGGTAGCTTGTCAGAGATGGATTTGATTTGGTTTCTGATGCTTTTTTCAAACGGTAATGAATCTTCTAACAACAAATCTGAAAGTTTCTTTACTCAGTATTTCAAATGATTTTTAGACTTGCAAAAGAAAAACCTTTTACTTCTGAGTGATTTTGATGGTCTAAAACGCTTTCAGGTTTCTTGCAAACAGATGAAAGAACCATAATTAAGCCCTTAAATAGATTTCCAAGAATGTAGGTACATTTTCGTAATGTTCTGAACATTCTGAAATTGCTCGAGGTTCTTGCATATCAACTAAATGAGGTTACCTTGTCATGGAAGGTTGTGCTACTGGATGTAGTTACTGCTGAGTGTAATTACTTTTTCTTATGATAACGAAAATCCTGTGATTGAAAGCTTCATGGCAGACGCTGTTTAGTGTGTAGCCAAAAATACTCAGGGTCATGTTAATTATTACTTTGTAATAATTAACTACTATCAGCAGTATAAGAAGACCTCGGAACACATCTTGTGATGAACTTCTTGGTTCGTTAAAGGAATGTGTAGCTTGTCAAATATAGCAAGGTAAAGAAGGTCCCGTCTAATAGCTGGACACTGTACTTCTTGCTGGGTTTCAGCTTGTCTGTAATTAATATTATTCATATAAGCTTGGATCTAACACTATCCCTTTACTCCAGGAGGGAAAATTCACCTGCTGACTGTGGGAATTGTCTCCCAGGCTGAGGCTGGATAGGTTATGGAAAGACTGAAGGAGTTGCAGGGCAAAGCTTGAAACGCGTATTATTTTCTTTGTGTAGCCTAGAAAATATGGTACTAGACGGTAATGATGGGATTAGTTTTGCATCGTGCATTCAACGCTTACCCCCAAGCACAGAAGTTAGGGGAAGGCTGGGCCTGGCTAATGTGCTAAATACACATCAGAATCATAGTGACATTGGCCGTCTTCAAGGCCAGGCTGGACGAGGCTTTGAGCAACCTGGTCTAGTGGAGGGTGTCCCTGCCCATGGCAGGGGGGTTGGAACTGGATGATCTTTAAGGTCCCTTCCAGCCCAAACCAATCTGTGATTCTATGCTTTGTATTTTGGCTGAAATAAAAGAATACTCACTAAACTGTTCAGAAAGTCTTCTGCGATAGTCCCAGCCCTTAGAGGGGAATTTAAGTGGTACAGGGACAGAAGTAAAGATTCGTCTCTTAATTAGCTGTGATTACTTGCAAAACATAATCTGTTCCTTATAAGCATTGTAGGAAAGTGACATATATGGTTTTCTTGTTTCTTGTGTGTGTTACGTGTGGTATTCATACCAGTGTTATTTTGCAGACAATGGTACATGGACTCAGCTGTGGTTGGTGTCAGACTATCATGAGCATGGATCACTCTTTGATTACCTGAACAGGTATACAGTAACAGTGGAAGGAATGATAAAATTAGCTTTGTCCACTGCCAGTGGTCTTGCTCATCTTCACATGGAAATTGTTGGCACACAAGGTAATCCTACAGCTATTCAGCCTGTCATATGCGTAACTGTTTTGGTTGGTTTTTAATGGCACATATGTATTTCTTTCTACTAGGATTCTCTTCTTAATTCAGACATTCAACCTTTTCAGGGCGTAGCTGCTTCGCACACAGCTACTTACTTCTGTGAGGAGAAGGCAGATGGACTCAGCACAGATACCCGTGTTAATCCCTTGTGGAGCTGAGTGAATTGAAAAATACCTGTCTGGGACCTGTGATAATTTCTGAACTAACAGAACTTCTTGATTTGGAAGGTTTTCTACCTTCCTTTCCGTGGTATATCCAGGTTTTGTGGTGTAACAAATTAAAAATGTAACCTGTTAAAAGTCACTAAGTAATGGTGTCTGTAGTATCTTCTTAACTTTGATATGGGAGGGCACTGTGAGCCCATTTCCAGACATACTAGAAACCTTTTTTTGTGGCAAGTACTATATGTACTCAATGATGTGTACTTTCAGGAAGAGGGAAAGGAGCAGTAAGGTGGAGTAATACAGTAGACATATAAGGCACTTTTCTGAACAGTCAGCCAGTCCACCATGAATTATTTCAGGAGTAGTTACCGTGACGCAAATAAAGCAGCAAACCTGGAAGAAATTCTGTAGCTTCAAACAAAGTCTGCACCAGGCTTAAAATAATAGCAATTATCTTTTTTTACAGATTGTTTATTTCTATGTTTGTGGGTTTTTTTCCTTTACAGGCAAACCAGCGATTGCCCACAGAGATTTGAAATCAAAAAATATATTGGTAAAAAAGAATGGAACATGCTGCATTGCAGATCTGGGATTGGCAGTTAGACATGATTCAGCTACAGACACAATTGATATTGCCCCAAACCACAGAGTGGGAACAAAAAGGTAAAATTGTTAATGTTCTGTCTCAGGTGACTCTTCACAATAAAATGCTTTGGTTTTTCTTGCCCCGTACAGAATATTTTTGTGGGTACAAACACGAGCAGCAGGAAGATGTAAATAATGGTAGGTAGAGCACCTAGGCACTTCCCTTGCCAGCTGGTAATTCAGTTAAACAGAAGGTGGATATAAAGACTGTTGAATCTTGGCAACTATTACAGGCATGTGTAAAAAATACCAGAAACTTGCAAAATATTGTAGGGCACAAGTGTGTATATATGTATTTTCAAACAGCAGACTATGAATGACAGTTCATTCTTCACTGCTGTATCTTTATTCTTTTTGCCTTGTGTTGCATGGAAATGTTGCTTGCAGCCCAGTCTGGAGTGTAAACCAGGGTGTAAACCATTGACAGTGAAAGTAAAAAGCTGGAATTTTTTAAGCATGAAGCCTGTGTTGTAGAACAGGCAAGGTGCAGTGTCTTGGACACAGGCCTTTCATGGAATCGTATTTTTAAGAGAAATACGGGAACATAAAACGTATCTTTTTTGATGACTGTTTTTTAGATGATGAAGGTGACGTATCTGTGTCATCTAAAGCATAAATAGAGTTATTAAAGGATGACACAGTATACTGTACTTTTAAAGGCTTACTTCTCAATTTGGAAATTTTGTCCTCAGAGCTGTTTAACTCTTACATCAACACAAGTGCAATTAAATTTATTGGCTGTAATTTATCATTGCTGGATCTTCAGACAGTAGTAACTGGAAACTGTTCTGAAGAGAATAATAATTTCCTTCAGTAACCTGTGCAGCTATGCAGCATAGAGATAGCAGCACTAACGGGGAACCCCAGCTACGGAGTTGTGCGGTGTGGGCAACTTCTTGTCCTCTGGCGCCGGTAAGTTCAGTGGCACGTCCAACTGAATTTGTACGCCTGTCACGGAGAGATGTGTGGAAGCTCAGTGGTTCAGGGCTGGCTATGATTAACTTCATTATGTGCCCTAGCAGCGTTGGAGAAAACTCTGGTGATGTTGCCCAATCTCCAATCCATACATACAAATTTTTTTTGTTTAATCTCTCTCTTTAATGAGTCATACTGTGTGAGGTTTGGGGTGGTGACTGAGGTTTTACAGTGAACTGGGATGCCCCTTTAGCTGTGGCTTTTTGGAAGAAATAAAGAAATCTGCTTTTTTAAGGCTCGGTGAACAAAAGCTTTTAGAACACGTACTGAAAATACACTTCACTGACAATTGTATCACTGAAATTACTTTGTTCTAAAGCTTTGCTATGCTAGTCCCTTGCCAGCTTTAAAAATACCACACAAACGGTCAGATAAGATTTATTTTCTGAACTACTACTAGATTACAAAGTACTGGGCATTATTGCTTCTCAAAGTCTCCAGTAATCATTGGCAGTAAAACAGCAGACTACTTTGGAATTTGAGATTGCAAACTTGCACTAAGCGCGAGGTGCATACCACGTGTGGTTTACTGTTTTCTATTACACCTTCCTGCAGGTTACAGTGATGTGCAAATCAGTTTCTTTAGCCTTTGGAGAAAGCATCCTTTTAGCTCTGCCTGTAGATCCCATTTACAAGATCTCTTCTTGCCTAGGTGCTGTTAGATTGCTTGTTCATCTGCCTTACGCTTCATGAAGGCAAAGCAGTAGCAACTCGCTTGCTTGCAGGGCCTTTTCCCACGTTAAAGACTCTAGTCACTTCTACCTTTCTGAAAATTGTTCCTTCTCGTAAAAGGCTTTGTCCCCTCATTCTCCCTCTTGTGTATTCTTACCTAAGTAACTCTGCATCTCGGCTTAATTTTTCATAGTAAAATTCAGATCTTACCCATTGAAGGGCACTTTAACTCACATTGATTGCCACTTTTGGTACCTCTTCTGCACATGGAAGCTCTGTGTGCAAGTTCAGGGAGTTTTGACTAAATGTATTTTTCTAGTTACTGTCTTCTGTAAAAATGTACAGTCTAGGGGGCAAGCGAGACTCACTCTTGGGTGAGTGATTTAGGTGCTGAATGAGACTGGTGATTCTTCTCTCTGACTGAATGAATCTTTCTTTTCTGTTCAGAGGCTTGGCTTTACCAGAGGGTGTGAACTGTGTGCTTTCACAGCTCAGCCTGCAGCATAAAGCAGGAAATGTGAGCTTTAAACTGAGAATGAAATAGAAAACCTCACTCATTCCCTGAGGCAAGTTTCAAAAAAAAAAGAGTAATTCTCCTGTCTCTTTTTTGTTGTTGTTTTTGAAGTGTGGCCCACCTGTTACTTCTGGTAGTTGAAATAGATAGTGCTTAAAAGAAGTTTGGCCACAAACTCCACCTTAACGTGGATGCTTTTCTGCAATTGACATAAACCAAGTATGAGCAGAATTCTAGCTCTGCTTGTGGAGAACAGGTGTCGCACTCAGCATGTTGTGTGTGAGTCCTGTTTGATGACATCAAGCTGCCTATATGTTGTACAAGAAATTTAGGCAACTAATAAAGAGCTCTTGGACTAAAAGGGATGGGGGAAGAGGTCAGTGGACACCCAGAGTTTGGCAAGGCCATACTCAACGTATTTTGTGAACTTCTTTGTAGACTTACCCGTTCAATTTTGGAGGGTACTGAGCTGCAGACATTGTTCAGAAGGTCAAAGTTAGTCTATGTAGAGAGTTCTCTCCAGAACCTAAAACACTGTTTCTGACAAGCCACACGTTTCCAATATACAATCTGACAAGGAGATGTAGTTTCTCTCCGTGCTGTCTGACGGCTGTGAAACGGCTGATCTGCTGACTGCGTTGGATGACCTACCTGCCTTTCGCCTCTCTTGTTCCAGCAATAATCTCTCAGACTTTCTGAGCAGTCAGTCACCATTCTGAGTCATGGAAGCCAAAGCCAATCTAAATGCATTGATGGAAGATCATTGTAAGAGGTCAATTTGCCAATAAATTCTATGGAAGCCACATTTGGTGAGGGGGAGTGGGGGAAAACAGTTTTATTTTTCTTTTGAGGGTACGAATTCATTTCCGCTCCATATTCAGACCTGTTATGGTCTTTCCTGTTAAAACCCTGGTCGGTAGGATAATTTACAGAAACTGAGACAATCTCCTTATCGCTCGTGTAAGCGATTCTGGCTGACAGTCTTGCACCATGGTTTGAGTTTTTGGTTTGGTGTTTTTCTGGCTCCATCACTTTTCTCATCCCTGTGTGATCTTAGGATAGATCAAATATTCTTTCTTCTAGACCCAAAGTTGCTCACTATACTGTCAAGTACATGAAGTAGCATAAGAAGATTATCCAACAATGCAAAAATCTTTGGAGAGCATTAAAGCACCCACGGTAATAATGCATTCTTGATTAAAAACGTTTTGATACAGGTGGCCCAGAATAGTTTGAGCCTTGTCCGTATCAAAGATTGTGACATATGTAAACTTAAGATGCTGTTTCCATTCAGTAAATACTGTCACAGTAAACCTTATGTTCCTCTTTAGACAGCTGTCCTCTGCTTGTGCTGTGTTATCACTTGTGGGGAGTTTATATGCCTGTACAGGGCTTAGGAGAACTCTCATGTTGGCAACCCTTGTTGAAGTTCTGGACTACTGGTTGTATTTTTGCTCTTCCATGAATAGTCCTTGCTTTCGTCTATGCACGTCCTTTCCATTAGACAAAATATAAGTAGTGTGTCTTGTATTCTGCCTACCATCCCTGGTACTAGGAAATGAATATCATAGTATTATGTTCATTACATGGAATTGTACATAGGTTTCCATGGTTGTTCCAGAGTTTAAGCTATTGCCTGACACTGTATTCTCCAGGATTCTGTGTGTGTTGTTTTCTTACCAGTTAACTGTGCTCTCCAAAGCTCTTGTGTCACTGTTTGTCTGCTCATTAATGTGTCAGCTTGAGACTGACGGGGCAGTGATGTGGAGAAACGCTGAACTGAGCTAAACATTCCATATTGGATTTAGCTGCCAGTGCTGTACCAAATTGAGAGTGCAATACTACAGCTGATGTTAACTAATGCAGACTGGTTGGAGCTAGGCCAGAGGAGGCCACAAAGATGCTCCGAGGGCTGGAGCCCCTCTGCTATGGGGACAGGCTGAGAGAGTTGGGCTTGTTCAGCCTGGAGAAGAGAAGGCTCCGGGGAGACCTTAGAGCACCTTCCAGTGCCTGAAGGGGCTACAAGGAAGCTGGGGGGGACTTTTTACAAGGGCCTGTAGTGACAGGACAAGGGGTAACGGGTTTAAATTGAAAAGCAGGGAGGTTAGATTGGATACCAGGAAGAAGTTCTTCCCGGAGAGGGTGGTGCAGCACTGGCACAGGTTGCCTAGAGAAGCTGTGGATGCCCCATCCCTGGAAGTGTTCAAGGCCAGGCTGGGTGAGGCTTGGAGCAACCTGGTCTTGTGCAAGGTGTCCCTGCCCATGGCGGGGGGTTGGAACCAGATGGTCTTTAAGGTCCCTTCCAACCCAAACCATTCTGTGATTCTATAATACAGCAAATAACATTCATTCTGCCCAGAAGGCAGCAAGGATGTCAGTAATTCTCTCAACAGAGTCCATACTGACATTTTGCTTGATGTTCCCACACTAGGCCTAAGCAAGGTAAGAATCACTCGGATGCCATGAGCAGTTTGCAGTCCATGTTTCTTAGTTGAAAGTCTGTCACAGATTTTTCAATTGCAGGAAATGTTGACAAAGTAAACTTTTCTTGTGAGTGCATTGTTAATGTGTAACCTAGATAGGATTTACTATTAAAAAAAAAAGTAAGCCTGGCATGGTTTATGATGTTCTGCTGTATCTTGGCAGATTCCACGAACCGGGGCTTCCTCCTGCCTGGCCTCTGGACCCCAGCCTGATGTGTCCAGAGGGCTGGGGCTCTGTCCATCCCAGACCTATGGATGTGACTGCTGCTTTCTTACTTGGGATTCAACCAGTAGTGAGGCTGGGTGTACACAGACCTACAGTACTGAGAGGTCTGATTACCCAGATTGCTATACACAGTGTGCAGACTCCAACACTCGCATAAAACACTGTCAGAACTTTTATAAAAATAAAAGTATAGACAGCCAAGTCTCCTTCCTTCTCCCTTCTGTAGCCTCACCAGCCCGTGCGCATTTATGAATCCCTCAGCTGTCAGTACAGCCCTCGTTGTATCTAATGCTGTCTTCTGTGTTCTGCAGGTCTGCTCACCAGCTGAGCTGGGTTAACGGGCAGCATGTACCCCTACGCTCACCTGCATGCATGGATTCCCTTGAATACCAGCACAGGCCCTCCCCGTGTCAAACATCCCTGCCTGGGCCACCTATTTGCAGGCTAGACCAGCTTGAGGTTTACTAGTGAATTAACACCCACACGTACCTGCCATGCATACCAGGTGTGGGGTAAATACAAACCTTCTAGCCCTCACCAGCAGCAGGCACCCAGGCACACGGAGCTGTGATTCCACTCCAGTTGCTGGTGCTGAGAGGCCTTTACTATGCTTCTATCATCCCAGTTTTCAGGGTACCTCTAAGTGTGTGATTGTGAATCCCGTGACCCGTGGTCCTGCTTCAGTGGCTGAAGCAGTTTGCTCCAGTTTCTGGCACCAGGGGTGCCTTCACACACTGTCCAACTGCAGTTGCTGCCCCAAAATTCATTCATGCTCCTCCCACAGTGGCTCAGGATACGTGCTCCTAGGATCTGCAATTCTTCTTCCAGCTGCTGATGCCGAGACCTTCCTCTTGACCCCCCAGACCCAAGGGCAACTTCATTCCTGGTCTGACTCCAGTTGCTAGCCCTGACTTCACTTGTGCCTATCTCCAGTTGCTGGCATGGAGTCCTTGGGGGTTGAGAATGAGATTGCACGCAGAGATAGGATTTAATAAGATAGGGTACGTGGCAGAGAGCAGGTGCAGGGCTTGGTCAGACAAGTATAGTGACTGGCAACTGATCATGGAACTGGACCATTTGATACCTTTTTCTGTCTGTTGTGCCACTTCGGTTCCTCCCAGTTACCCTTCTAAACATTCCTTGATAAGCATTGCATAGTCTAACAGGCCTCGCTTGCGTATCCACAATCCTCGTCTTCCTTTTGCTTCCCACGTAGTAGCAGTTACACCATCCAGACTGGCTCTTTCTAAGCCTAGGCCTGGAGTTTCTTCACAGCCCGTCAGTTAGCAACTGGAGGCTTTTGGGTTTTGTCATTGTCTGTTACAGAATCACAGAATGGTTTGGGTTGGAAGGGACCTTAAAGATCACCTCGTTCCAACCCCCTGCCCACATCTGTCAGGTTTATGGCTCTATTTGTTTATCGTTTCACATTTTACTTATTCCTCGTATTCCTTTGCTTGTTCCTCTCTGTTTATTTCTTACCCCTTTGCTCTGAAAGGTCTTTGATTGCATGACCTTAACGAAGCAGATTTTCCTTGTCTCCTCTTCCATGTAAATATTTAAATCTGGGTTTGAGCCGATCGGTAGCACCAGACTTTCTCTGCAGTAAGTGTTTATGAAATTGAATGTGTTTTGGTTTTGTGTTTATTACAAATAGGTACATGGCACCTGAAGTTCTAGACGATTCCATAAATATGAAACATTTTGAGTCGTTCAAGCGAGCAGACATCTATGCAATGGGACTAGTGTTTTGGGAAACAGCTCGACGATGTTCAATTGGTGGTATGTGGCAATTTTTACAAAATTGGACATACTAAGGAATTATGAGTAATTTACAGAACCTGATTAAGTTTGAGTAAACAGTTTGCTCTAAAAACAGCGCAAGGTAATGGCCAGCATCTCAGGCTTTCCAACTCTTAATCCTGTAAATGATAACTGGTTTATTTGATCTCTTTTTAAAGTGATTAACCATACCTGTTGAAGAAAATAGGAATTATCCTTGCTTGTATTACTTTTTTTTCCTAAAGCCTTTACATAGAGGGGAGAAAAACGTGAAGTTACATATCTTGGAGAGCAAGGGGCAAACACCGCAAGTAAGGGCTAGGTATAACATGTTCAGGTGACATCCATACCTTATTTAAACTAAAACATGCTATTGTAAATCGTGTGCTTCAGTACAGCATGTGAAAGATTTGATGTAGCTTCTATCTTTTCCAAATACATAAATTTCAAAATTAAGAATTCTTCGAGGGTAACGTAAACACTCCTATGGTATGGTTAAAGATTTTTTTTTAAATTTATTTGTCAGTCATTGTAATGCAGCTTTTAAAAATGAAACCAAAACTAGAAAATCATAGGGATACTGATAAGGAACACGGTAAAAAGGAAAGAATATGTAATTTAATATTAGCTGAAACAAAGGTGTTTTCGACCTATTGCAGGAATCCATGAAGATTACCAGTTGCCATACTATGACCTCGTTCCTTCAGATCCTTCTGTCGAAGAAATGAGGAAAGTTGTGTGTGAGCAGAAGTTAAGGCCCAATATTCCAAACAGATGGCAGAGCTGTGAGGTATTAACTAAGCTTGCTAAAGCTGCCTTAACGGACACTGGAGATTTTATTGATTTCAGTGGCTTAAAAATTGTGCTGCTTGTTCAGGGGAGAAGGGGTGCTTCTAGGAGAACTGAATTGCATTCTGTTCATTGTGGCTTTATTGGATGTTATTGGTCTCTGGTTATACGTTAATATTTAATGTAATTTCAGACAAATTAATAACTGACCCTGCACGGAAGTTTCTAGGTTCCCTTCCTGTGAAAGATAGGTGAAGCTAATGTGAAATCAAGCCTGTCTGAATTATGTTATGCAGAAAGAATCATTGTAAATAGATTGTGCAGCTGGGAATTGTACTGCGTCTGCCTGGGATTGAGTTAACTTTCTTCATAGTAGCCTGTATGGTGCTGTGGTTTGGATTTGTGACCAAACCAGTTTGATAGCACACTGATGTTTTAGCGATGGCTGAACAGTGCTTACCCAGCTTCAAGGCTTTCTCCATTTCTCACTCTGCCCCCACTACTGCTGGGGAGGCCGGGGGGTGGACAAGAGGCTGAGAGGGAACGCAGTTGGGACAGGTGACCCGAATTGCTCAAGAGGGATATTCCATACTATGCAATGTCATGCTCAGCAATAAAACAGGGGAAGGGGAGAGTTTTCCAGGTGTTGCTCAGGGACTGGTTGGACATCAGTTGGACGGTGGTAGGCAACTGGTTTTGTATCCCTTGTTTTTGTTTTGCTGGTTTTCCCCCTTTACCTATTAAACTGTCTTTATCTCAACCCACAAGTTTCCTCACTTTTGCCCTCCTGCTTCTCTTCCCCATCCTGCTGTGGGGGGAGTGAGCAAGCGAGCGGCTGTGCGGAGCCTAGCTGCCTACCGGTGTTAACCCGCAACAGGGGTAATAAAGATACATGAGCTAACTAGGTCTGTGCCAATTGGTTTGTAACTAGGCTGGTTATCTCTTTCAAGAAGTGGACTTGCTAGTTTCAGCTCAGTAGTCTGCCAGCACAGCAGTACTGCTTGTAGGGACACAAATGGTATCTTCAACAGTGCTGTGCTGCCTCTTGTAAATGCTCGCCCAGGGGTCTTTGCCCTATCGTTGTGTATTAAAGGAATATCCCACAGACTATAGCCAAAATAGGAAACGCCTTTAGGAATTTTCATCCGAAACCGTGGTGGCCTTAGCACTTTGTGTGTCTCGGAATTCGTACTGTATGTACCTACTGAAAGGTGAGCACGTTCATTGGGAATCTGAGATTCTTGTAGGCCAGAGACTTAGAACTAAGTGTGCGTGTAGTGACCGCTCCTGCCCATGCCTCTGTAGAAGTGCTTACCTCATTCTAGGGTGAGTTCATTGTGCTGGTAGTCACTGCACGGACAGCAGTGTGCACAGCAGTGAGCTCTTGCCTTTCCAGCCAGCTCTCTTCCTATGGCTTGCCCTAGGAACGCCACGAGGGCTAGAACTGGTGCTTCCCCAGTCACAGCTTAGGAGAGACGCTGCGGTAGGCTGTAGCAGGGTAAGAGACTGATGAGATACCGCGTAGTTCCGATGGAAGAGGGAACTGGGTTGTGGCATGTATGACACGAATACGTGGGTATATCTTGAGATCAGAGATTGGGCAAGAGAACACAGGTAGGAGAGGAAGGTGATGATATGTACCCACAGGCTGTGGAGTCATTTCTGAAATGCTGCCATTCCAATGCCGCAGGCTGACTTAGCAGCACAGTGTAATACAGCTTTCAGTGTGAAATCGTGGAAGGTAGAGCTTTTAACTTCTTTCATCCTCAGATTTTCTGCTATTTGCATTGTTACTTGTATAGTAGCATTCACAAATTTCAAAGAATGGGTTTTTGAAGGATAAAAATACTCCAAAAGTTTGGAGTTGTTACAGAGCTTTGGCCTGAGGCAGACAGCTGATAAACTTCTGAATTGGTATTCATTGAACTAACTCCTTAAAAATCAATTTATGATGGAAGGAGGCGATGGAGTACATTCCCAGCTACGCAGTACCTCTGTGCCGATGCAGAGTGCCTGCTGTTTCATTACTGCTTTTTAACTGGAGGTACAACAAAAAGAATATATGTCTAAGGTCAAAATTCAAAACACAGTTACAGACAAGCTGCTAACTTTTCACTAAAATATTTTTGCATGGGCTGAAATCGTACTGAAAAATAATAGTTTTGCTCTATAGTATTTTAAAGAATTTTATTTTTCCGAAAACACAGTAAGAATTTGAGGATTCCACGCAACGCACGCTTCCGTGCAGCTGCAGTAGCGGCACTAGGCTTCAGAAATGCACCAAGAGGCTGAGGCAGAGCAGAGGTTACGCGGGCTGCACTGGACCAGCAGTACCTATAATTACTTGCCTTTCCTTTGCAGGCATTACGAGTCATGGCAAAAATTATGCGGGAATGCTGGTACGCCAACGGCGCCGCTAGGCTAACAGCTTTGCGCATTAAGAAGACACTATCGCAGCTTAGTCAACAGGAGGGGATAAAGATGTAATCCTGGATTTGCTCCCGAAGAATACTGCGGAGATCCGGATCTGCACCAGAGTGGCGTGTTAAGAAGGTTAATTGTTCTACCTCACTGGGGGAACAGAAGGATATTGCTGCCTTGTAGTACTTCATAGGAACGTCACTTACTAGGGGTTTCGTGGACGTGCTAAACAGTTGTGTTGGGTCCTTTCTGTGCACTATGAGCCTCTTTCCCAGGTTACTTACAAAACGTTGTGTAGTCTAGTTTTATTTTTATTAACCTATGATTTTTTTTTTTTTTAATTTGGAAAGTTGATAGATGGTCTTAACTTCTGGTTAACTCTGCTAAAAACAGGGGGTCACTTTTAAAATAGAACTGATTCACAATATTGTTCTAGAGTGCATTGATGGCTCTTTCAGCAACTTTATTCCTGGCTGGTACATGGATTCCTCTGAACCACTGTCACAATTCTTGGATTCAGATTTGGAGTGTACTGTTGGAGTATACTTTGCTAGCTATTAAGGTAGTATATCTTTTGGACTCTGGTTTACCAATTGACCTCATCCAGTTGTGGGAACATAATTTATGCAACTCTACTTTATACGTGATTCCTGGGGTTTTTTTCCACTTTCTCAGAACATTACATGGCCTTCAAAATAGATTGTATTACACCAGTAAGTGCCGCTTTTGAGTCTTCTAATGCGAAACAGTAGGAGCGTGCAAAGCCTATGGTACCTTTTGGGTTCAAAAAAACAAGATTAAAAACTCAACTGTTCCTTTACCTAGCTAAGATCTACTTCACGCTCGTTTCAGCAGGTGAATACATAATTCATGGAATACGTTTAGTTTTACCAAAATCTGACTCTTTAAACCACTGTGGGAGTTTTTAATAGTGTAAGCTAGTTAATTCACTGTCATATTTAGTAATTGTCAAGTCATGAGTCATAATTACAGATAAGATTTATCAAGTAGGTACTTTGAGCATTTTAGAAGTACCATCTACTTCAGAAAAGCAGCAAGCAGAGGGTGATATTCTTCAGGGGGATTTTTGCTCTATTAAATCAGATATGAAAAGCGTATCTTCCTGTGTGGTTCTGCAGGGTCTTAAGGCTCAAAGAAAAGTATTTGCAATTAAATAATAATTAAGTGCACCTGTAATTAAGGAGAAGTTATTTGGGCTTTTGTACTAGAAAGTTCAAAGCTGCTTATAAACTTTATGTGCATATACTTCGTGTGTGCCTCATACATGGAAAGTGGTGAGCTGCAGGTCTTTGGATAGAAGTCCCAGAGGATTCCAACAATCCTCTTCATAGTTACAAGAACAAGGCTTATGGTGTCCTGAGAACACAGAAGAATACGCGTGGCTTTAGTCGAGATTTGCCTGAGATTTCAAGGATGTCAGAAGATTTTTGCAATCTTGTTTAGAAATTGAATTGCTTCCTGCTCAAATGCACAACTTCTGGAAGGGACTGAGGGTATTAACATGGAAAATTCCCACATGTAAATGTGCCTGATAATTAATATGCCGCCAAACCTCCTGCTCTCCGGAACACATCGGTGTCCATCCTGTGATGCAACACCCAGCAGCCTACCTTTTGTCCTTCAGCGTACAGTCCGCTGAGAGTTCTTGGCAACGCGAGCGGCCGTGGCAGGGTGGTTGCATACAGAAGCGTTCTGTTCCGTGGTCTGTGACACATGGCGGTTAAAGTAGGTGACGTAAGACAGATAGCGCTTCATGAACTCTTGCCTATTTCCAAATTCTTAGTGCTTACTTGGAGATAGGTTTAAATGATGTGGGAATTGCAGACCTTTTATGGGATGAGTTTACTCGTACCTGAAGGTGGCATCCAGGAGAAGAGGCAATAATAAGGGAAGCTATTATTAAACAATTGGGCTTAAACACACGTGCAGCTGCCACGCTTCCGTTGGTTTGGCATTGTCTGGCCAGCCAGGCTTACGTGCTTCAGGCCTCTGTCAATCAAAGCTGGATCAAACATGACTGCACGGAGGCATTTTAAATAAACCGTACCTTTGTACAAACGGACAACTGTACACCATGGAGTTTTTCAGTTGTAACTCTTCTTAAGAAAATGATTGAATGTAACTGAACTCCCGAGTCTGCCTACTTGGCACGCCTCCACAAGGAGTTCTGTGTATCCGGACACATACTTTAACAGGGCAGCATCCAAGTAGAATAATCTCCATCCTAACCTGAAAGGCTTCCTGTTTTAAACAAATTATCTTTGTTAAATTTTGAGTTTTTCACTGACGTACCAGGATCTTTGCCGTAGATCCAAATGGAATAGTTCATACTTCATCAGGCTGCTGGCACGCCTCAGATCTTTATGGTGATCTCAATGGCTTCCAATGTAACTCAGCAAAGAATTTCAATAGTGGCATTTTTAGCACCTGTAAACCCCTACCACGTAATGTTTAGTTTCCTAGAATATAAGGGGCCGTTCTGTGGGGTTCAGGAGCGGATCTGCAAGAGCTGAACAGTGTTATGGCATACAGATTATTCAGTCGGCTGTACAGCTGTTGGTTACGTCTGTCTCATCCGCCCACTAGTCCAGATTCTCCTGAATTGCTAGCAACCGTCCTTACTTTGTTCTCATGTGTTTTCGCTTTGTCGTAGAAGCTTTCAAAAACAAAGCACAGGAAGGATGCTTGATACAGTGTGTGACATTAGGAACGTTATTTTGGGACAACCTTGTTCATATTGGAATGCTGAACAGGAAAATTCTGAATAGAGCTATATGTATCCTCAGTTCCGACACCACAACTTCAAGCTATGTCCTTCTTTTCCATTATATAAACTGAACACCTTTTACAAAGGCTGTGTCTGTATATATTATGTAACTTTAAATGTTACCTGTGTGAGATCATATCTTATATATATGGACACAGGTACACATAAGTATTTTTTAAATTAAGATTGTAATATCACCAGATCTGCTCTTGGAAATCCAGGGGGACCAAAATATTTTAGCATTCAAAATATTAATTTTGTATCATTTCAAGTATATACCAAAACAGTTTGTGATGAATACTGATGCAAATGTTTATTGTAAATATTACATACGTTGTGCATTCACTTACCTTTTGTGGATTTAGTCAATTTGATGTTTTAGTAGCATTGAAGCCTCAGTTTGGTTTACGGACTTGTGACCGGTTGGATATGGACATGGGGAATAAGGAGCATTGGAAATGGTCTGATGCTGAAAAGCCCAAGACGTTGTTTTTTGGAATGCTGGAATTCTTCAGGAACCTTCCAACATGAAAAGCTGGAATTCTGAGATGTTTCTCAAGCTGACTTTCCAAGTATGACACACTGTCACCCTCCAATGGTTCCACGTGTAATCCTGAAAGAGACTTTGTATATAGGGTAAAGAAGGACAGTGGGATTGACCTTCTGTGGACATGAAGGTGTCAAATGAAATGAGGCTACTTTATTTTTTTTTTCAGTAATGGTTCCGAGTGTGATTGCCATGAAATTCACCTTTTAGTTAGTTCCTTGTTTATATTGTGCCATTGAAACGATTGCAAGGTGTTAATCATTTTTGTGGAATTTTTAAAAAAAACCCAACACTTCACCATATCAGTTGCTTTAAACTCAAATTACCTCTTAAAAGACCAAGGTACATTTACCTCGTGTATATAATGTTTCGTATTTTTCAGAACATTCTCCAAGTTTGCAGTTACATGTTTGTAGAATTATGGGTATTACTAAATTTTCAACTTCAACGGTACTAAATGCGGTATCGGGTGCCCCAAAACACTTGACTTTCTGTGGTTTATTGCGTTAGCACGTTTGCTGCTTTGTCACTGTAGCACCTGCCGTTACGTAGCCGTGTGGATACTGCCTTGTAAATTTGACTTTTTTGGATGATTTGAATGATCCTGTACAGATGAGCGTCGCTTTTTTTTTTTTAAACCTTGCGAAATCGTGCGTTTCCCTTATGTTGCTGACCGTACATATTGTATTTGTAAGTATACATTTCAGTGGACTGTAAATAGGAGAGTAGCGGAGCGGATGCTTGCGTCAAGTGCTAACGCTACAGTAGAGGGACTAAAGCAGTGACAATAAAGAAGAACTTTTTTCAAAGTGCACGAGTTGTCTTTCAGAGGAAGAAATGGCAGGTAGGTGTGGGGTTGGGGGGTGACGTTCTGACCTGGCAAACTGTGGGTTTACTGTGCATGCCTTCCCTGCTGTGAAACTGATAAAGGGGTTTGCCAGCGCTGAGGCCACCCACCTCCTGTCTGCTGTACAGATGAAGTGCCTCCTCTTCCTTCCAAGCACCTTGCTGGTGTCTCTGGTCTCTTGGACAGAGTAACTGAGGACAAAGTCTTCCTTCTCTCTGTTTGTACTTCCATAGGAGTAACAGAGCTGCTGAGGGTTTCGGACTGCTGGTGTCTGGTCTCTTGGACAGAGTAACTGAGGACAAAGTCTTCCTTCTCTCTGTTTGTACTTCCATAGGAGTAACAGAGCTGCTGAGGGTCCTGGACTGCTGGCCTCAGCGTGTCACGGAACAGCAAGTAAAATTGCGCGGGAGCGGATCGTTTCAGTGCAAAACTCAAATTCAGACCGGTATTTTGCTTCTGGAGGAAGGTGAAGATGTAGCAACAACAGAAGATACGACGCCTTGCCCTTCTGTAATGTGCGTCTGTTAATTTTGGCTCGGAAATGACCAGACACGGTTACTGAGAAGCACTACTTCCAGCAAACCTTTTCAAATGAAAATTCAGTAAAATCCCGAGTCCCACTCGTACATCTCCTGGCAGAGGAAGTGTATGCCCTGGCCGTAGTACAGTAGTGTTGCTGTCCACCAAGCTGAGTTTCTGTTACAGAGGCTTCTGTGTTTGGTGCCTTGAGGGACCGAAGCAAACAGCTGGAAAAAATCCATGAACAGCAAGCAACTGCTGCAAGTACCTGAGACGTGAGGATGTTTTAAGGTAATTTTAGAGGAGGTGCTGAGTTGGGGTGGTCTGTGTGTTAGCCTGGATTGCAGGTCAACGTGAAGAGTGGCAGACCTTCAGCTGGTTGGTGTTGCCTGATTTAAACTTTTTTTTTAAGCGTAGAGCTGTCACAATAGGTTTTTTAATACCCAATGCACTGAAGAGGTGAATATTTTGCGTAGGTGCAGCATGACTGTGTAAACAAACCACTTTTCTGCAGTACCAAGTTAGCATTGCAGTTTTCATTTTACCAATTATTGTGAATTTGGGTAAATGATGGGCCATAATGTACCAGGTAATGATGGTATGGTGTAAGGGTCTTCCTGGTAGAAAATCAATTCCTTTTTAATAGGAAATTGAAGATTCCAAAAGTTCTCATCCAGTGCTCTTAATAGCTTGCTTTATGTATCGAGCCGCGATGTTTTAACTGGCACTGCCAGTGGGGAAGTGCGTGTTTTCTAGGGGTACGCTCTGCAGCATAACTCCGTTGTGGATGCCTGGGTCACCGCTTGCGTGATGGGATACCGGGGGTGGGAGGAAGGGGGGCTCCTCTGGCGCGCAACGGGGGCTTGGTTTGTGTCTGCGGAGTTTCGTCACTTAAAAGACACGTGGAAGGTGTGA